TTAGGACGTTCATAATAGCACTAGTGCGTTTAAGAATTCATAATAACACCCAAATTAAATAAACAAAAAAAATTAAAAATATCCAAAAAGGGTGTTTGATACCACATTCATTTATTTAGTAATTATAAAAAAAATCACTTATTATAAACATTAATAACAAATTCCGAACAATTTGACAAATTAATACCAGCAGTTGACAAGTGGGCTGAATTCTTGGAAAGTAAATTTATTTCCCGCGTGCTTAAACTTGTTGAAGGGCCATCAGTAGCTGGAACGTTACCCAAAATATTGGTGGACACTTTCTTCTTATTTTCTTTGGAATCTTCTATGTAGCTTTCAGCGACTGTGTTAGAGCGCCAACCACCATGCCTCTTCACAGTTAATAAATCTGCTCCTGAATCGGCAAGCAACGACGCAGACGATCTGCGAAAACAATGTCCAGTGTAACGTTCAGGATCTGGGAGATTCAGGAACGATGCTATATTACATGGCATTTGTATTAATTCCAACTGGCTGCTTAGTACATTTCCCATTTCTATACGCCACAAAAAATCGGGTATGATTTGTGTTGCTTGGCCGCATGGCTATATATCTTCGAACCATTTCCACCATATTTATTCCTTCAACATTCCCCTTTGTGATGAAAAAATCTCGTGGTATCTTTGTTTTCGTAAATGGAATATTGATATGAATGCATTGGCCTCCATCTTTAACATTTTGAAGGTGCAAATTTGTCAATTCAGTACGCCTGCAAGCTCCTGCAAGCCCCACTATCAATGCAACTTTTATCATAAAATAAGTTTTATTGTCCGCTTCCATCAAAAATTGAGTTAGGTCTTCTTTTGTCAAAATTTCAGATTTTTTTGACCGAAATCCTTCCGACTTTCTTTTGAGAAACGCAATTAAGTGGACGTACTTACTAATATCCGTATTTTTCTTTACTGATATAACTGAACGTAGCATAGAATAATATACCCAAAGCGACGAAGGCTTCCTATGTTTTGATAGATGTTCGAAATATGCAAGGAGAACTTTTTCGTTGCTGCTATTCTTTATTCCTTTTCCTTTACACCAATCTTCAAGTTTTGCATAGGTTTGCTCGTAATTATGTCTTGATTTCTCGGGAAGTAGGGAATCCACAACGTTTTTCGCAATGCCTTCGATATCCGAAGGGACACTCTCATCAGAATCATTCATATTTTTCTTTATTATTTTTCACTTAAACTGGAAGAACATTGAAGAACATAGAACATAGACTGAACGAATATATCAATATTGAACGATAATAATGATGTTGTCAAGCAACGAAACAACAAAGTTTCCAATCAACAAGTCCCGTTACCGTGACATCGACTAGAAGGCACCTGATAATTTGAAAGTTCAATTCAAAAATGTTTCGGGTATGGTATTTTAAGGCAAATCAAATCTATGCAAATAAAATCTATTTGAACTGACGTAGATTAAATTTTGAATGATACACGTTCGATATGAACTTTGGTAATGAAACTTGTGTAACTAAACCACTCGGCTAACGCCTCGTGGTTTAACGTTACACGCGTTTCATTATAATGTTCATATCGAACTAGTATCATTAATATCTATTAGCAAATTCAATTCCTGTATTCCAGGTCTGCCAAGTAAATTTTCATGATTTTCCATGACATATACCTTGATTTTGTTATTTTCACCCTTATAACTGATCTGGAGTGTACATTTTCCAATAACATTTAATGGACATCCTCCTAGACCCTTCAATTTTACTTTAGTGCGTTTCAGTGTTGGTTTTTCTTTTAGCTTATCATACGATGTCTTACTCAAAACTGTTACATCAGCACCTGTGTCAATCTTGAAAAATATTTCATCCTCAGGAGCTTCTAGTGCTATTTTCCATGCAGGATTCGAGCCACTCTGTATTCTCCGACTATTTCGCCAACTTCAGAGTCTTCGGATAAGTCGTCAACTTCATTAACATGCTTGAATTTGCTAGTAGTTTGTCTCTGCGTTTTACACATTTTACTGTAGTGACCTTTCATTGAGCATTCTTGACAGCGTTCATTTAATGCAGGGCATTCTTTCAACCTATGACTTGGTTTCTTACCGCATCTACCACATTGTGCATAAGTTTTCGTTGATTGATTAGCAACATTTCGTGATTTAGGCCTTTTCTGAGTAGAAATTCTACTTACTGAGAGCTTGTATGCCTGTAGAGCTTTATTTGTATGCCTGTAGAGCTTTATTTTCTCATTTTATTCTTTCACTTTGGACAATTTTGGCTTTAGCCGATTCAAGTGTTAAGCTACTGTCTAACTGTAAGCTTTCGGATAACTTTTTGCTGTTTCGCCCTCTTGTTGCACTCTTTTATTGAACTTGGCTCTTTCAAAAATAACATTCACTTTCTTAATAAAGTAATCATTGAAGAATTGTTTTATATTACTATATGTACTTATCTGTACAGTTAGACTGGTGCTATCCAAAAGTTGGTTCACTTCAGGTCCCATATTGAGTAGGAGACTATCAACTTATGCTTTTTCACTAATTTGGGCTGCATTTATCACATTTCGGTATCGTTCATAATTCACTAACCACGCATTCCATTCCACTGGCACAAAAGAGAATTTATCTGGGGGTGATACATTGGTCACTGTTGTTGTGTTATTGGTGCTAACTCCCAGCACTTGAATTTCAGCTAAACTTGGCTCCATTTTATCTAGTTGGGCTTGCAATTGCTCATTTTTTTGCTGAAGTTCTTCCATTGCGGTAATTTCTCTAAATTTTCCAGCTTGATGACATTTGAGGTTAGGCCACAGAATTTTTGAACTATTTCCCTAATCCGACGATTTTACCCGAGAATTTTTATACCTGACACCATGTTACATTATATACTTAAGTTAGTATAAGTTTAGTTTATTGATTGAGGTTTTAAAGTAAACTTTAAAATAAAACTTTGTGACGTCACAAGTTCCTGCATAATTTATCTTCATAATGAATTTTCTCGGAGACTGTTTTGAATATAGGACTGCGGCTTTGACGAGAGATCTTAGAATTTTTTTCTTGATTTAGGTCACAACCGCTTTAAAGGAAAACAAATACCTACTTGTACACCGCTGCAAGCACTGGATAGATTTACTGGTTAGAATTTTGACCTTATACGAGGGATGTTGAAAGAATATAGTATGTGCCAATTGCAATGATTTCTACTGTACTTTGTCAATGAAAAGTTTTTTCTGAACAATAATAAAGTACCTATTTTTGATTTGATAAAAATCTTCATGAGTTAACAAAATCCATACGACCAAATTTGACTTTGCAATATTAGCCAGGCGGGAATTATTACATATAAATTTTGATCTACAGAAACTTTCATTAGTTATTTTTTGCTAGAACACATACGTAAATTCAAATGACTGCGATGTGAATGAATTCCTACTTTTTCAAATGAAAGCTAGTCAAACACGGTCAGAGCTTATTCTAGCCGTTGTTGAGGACTGAGGAGTAGGATAATATTCCACAAGAATATCTAACTAACCTCATATGAGGCATCCTCGTGCTTTGTTTCAATGTTAAAAGGGTGGCAATATAAGTGTGGGATTCTCGGATTTTTTTCACAAAAATAAAGTTACTGACAATGAGATTTTTTTGCTCTCATAATTTCCAAAAGGTCCTTAGCATGCGAAGGGGTGTGTAATACTCGGCGTATGTAATAAAATATATGCGCCCTTTTCAAACAATTTTCCTATACATTCTATATTTTCTATAAAAAAAAATATGGATTCTTATATAAATTGGACGACATCCAAGACAACACGAGAATCCTAATAAATAGATCGTATCCTCTATATTTACCCAATCAATTCGGATTTTCGCCCATCTCGTAAACACGAAATCGTTCCTCCTGCGATGCATCGAATCGAATCCCGGGGATTTATCCGTGGATTCTGTGTCATCGTAATCCGGGTCTGACGATATGTAAACGGATCCCGAAATTGTTGTCTCATTTAAATGTACCGCAACCTGGGTCATTGCTGTGGATTCTTTGTATGATAATAAATATGAGAAATAGTATTTGATGTATTTTCGTGGCTTGTACGATATTAATTTATAGTTTTATTGGGATGTAAGAGGAGATAGAGTTATTGGAAATTTTATTGCAGTATTAAGAGATGTCGTCATTTTATTGCTGAGGGAAATTATTGCCTTTCACTTGCCGCAGTAAAATCAATGTTAAAAAAATTAATAATTGCAGACAATTTTGATTTACTTAGGAAACAAAAATTCCTATACAAATTCTAACTTACAGTTAATAAACTGGTTCAACAAGGACTCAATCCAAGCCAAAAATATGAAAAATATCAAAATATATAAAGATTCCATTGATTCAGTTCATATGCTCATTCATGCACATAAGGCTCAACTACTTTCGAATTTTCCTTGAAATACAAAGAAATTGAAAATCATTGCATTGCCATGATATATACATTGTACATTAAAAAAAAAGCAATATTACACAATTTTTAATAATTGCTGCTTTTACTTGTTGGACTAGAAATAACTTTCTGATATTAACACAGTAAGAAAACTCAAAATCCTTGAAAATTTAAGCTCCTTCGTTCTCGTCTAGCAGAGCAGATAAAATACCAAAAGCCCGCGACCACTGCTAAACTTGGAAAATGGACTTTTCAATTTATAAGATTCTCAGTCTCACAAAATGGGCAACTTTTAATTACTTTTGTCTGTATGCTCCATATGCTTTCGCAAAAGTTCTGTCTGCGGGCTGGAAAACTTACTTTTTCAGGGCTCGTGTTACTTGTTGGAAACAGGATTTTTTGCTTGTAGCCAGAATAAAAGCTGATGTATAACCTAATGGCCTTTACTAGATAGGTTTAGTGTCAAAATTTTAATAGTAACACTTTAGACGTTTGTGTCTATATTACCTCTGAGAAGATAATATATATTTAACTGTTTATCGTTGCAGTTTTACTAATAAATCTCTTTTATTCTAGTGCAACCGTACATATCACAGTATCAGACGTCAATGAGTACGCACCAACTTTCACCGAACCCAGCTACGTCAGACAAGTGGATGAAGGTAGAATCTATCCAGAGATAGTACGTGTTGAAGCCACCGACAGAGACTGTACTCCCAAATTTGGTGACGTATGCAAATATGAAATTTTGACTTCGGACCAACCGTTTGTAATCGATATGGATGGTGTCATCAGGTAAGAACACCAAAAAAAAAACACAAATTTAGACTAAACATTGTCCACTCACAGGAACACTGAGCCTTTGGACTATGAACGCTCCCACAACCACATCTTGAGCGTTATCGCTTACGATTGCGGGATGCGTCAGTCTTTTCCAGCTTTGGTGACGATCAAAGTTAATCGAGTGTGCAGGCTAGGATGGCGAGGACTTCCTGAACGTGTGGACTATGCTCCTATGACAGGGAAACAGGAATTGTTCCCCAGCGCCACCTTGGAATTGTGCGACGTGCCTTGTAATGTCAGAGAGTTGAGAGCTAGAGTTGACCTACAAACAAGGTGAGAGTTGATTTATTTATTTTGAGAGTTTTGTTACATTTGGTAAATAAAGGCAGGAAGTTACGGGCTTGAACTGTGCCCCTCTTATAAAAAATTTGACGTTGCTTTCTGAGCTTCATTGTTCATTGCAGTCAGACAGATGACGGCGGCTTCTCACACATTTGCGAATCCTAATTTGAGCCACTGTCTTATCTTAGAAAATTTTCTGTCAATGGCTCAAACAAGCAGGAAATTGAAGAGAATATTTCTGGGATAAAAATCAAAAAATCTAGCGAAGATGATGAATCTTCTGCTGCTTTAGATGCCCTTCTCATTCTCTATTAATAATAATATGTACTAATAATAATGACTGGTTTTATTGTAATTCAAGAGTTTACAAGCTACAGGCACAAAATAGTTAGCAAATATTTAAGAATCACAAATGGCGGAGTTGAAGCACAGCTTCCTATCTCAACCAGAGTATAGATATGACATAACGGAATACAGAATATTACATCGAATATGTCAATGCAATGACAGTTATTAGACTAGCACGGGTGCTAGTACAAAGAAAAAATATAAAAAAACAATAATATAGAGAATATAAAAAAGTGAAAAGCCTAAGTATAAGTCGAGGTATAAGGGAGATGGACAATTCAAAAGTTAAACACATATATACAGGCCGGAGAGACAATGAGTGTGACGATGTGAGCTCAGACAAGAACTTTAATATTTTGCTTGACAAATTGCTTAAACTTGTAATCATAGGCTGTTTTGTAATCAGCAGGGATTTTATTATACATTTTTAATATTTGGTAGCTAAATGATCTCTCATACATGGATGTAGCATGCGTGGAAAGAGTTATTGTAAAGTGTCTGAGCTCCAAGTTAGGTGCATCATACCGAACAGTGTTGCCATTAGTAGCGATAAATAGCGAAAATGGCGATTTTTTTACCTTAAAAAATCGTAGCGGCTCTGCAAGAAATAATCCATTTGTAGCGGTTTTTTCAAATATGAACAATACATCTACCTGATCCTAACCTAAAAGTATTTTTAAAAATCCCTATTTTATTTTTAGTGCACGGGACATCAGTGATGCCACTGCACTTTGCACTTGGTGTATTCTTGCACTCTGTTCTATTCTACTCTACAGAATAGGTCTGTTTCCACCAATGTTTCCACAGAAATTACAAACAAGTCCGAGCGAATTTCATTGGTTGAAAATAGTTAGGAAACTGGTTGTTGGCTATTTGAACCAATCAAAAACGCTCTGACTGGTTTGTGATTTCTGTGTCATCGGTCTTAAACAAAATCTTGCCCCACAGCGTTGCATTTGCATCCACTCGAAAAAAAAAAGAATTTTATGTGATTGATAAGCCTGTTCGCACAGAAATCACAAACCGGTCAGAGCGAATTTCATTGGTTGAAAACAGAGAGAAAACTAGTTTCAACCAATGAAATTCACTCTGACTGGTTTGTGATTTCGTTTTGTGCGAACAGACCTAATTTTATTGACATATCGCTGGGAATACGATAGAGGATTCACGGACATTAAATTCTAGAAATCGCTTCATTCACTTACTGATCTTTTGGTTTTTGAGCCGGTGGAAATGGAATAGGATAGTGATTCTGATTAAATTATTTATTGTATTGTAGTGTTGAATTCTCTTAAGACGTCAGGAAGAAGTAGCGATAAAGTAGCGATTTTTCTCACCAGATGGTAGCGATTTTTGGCTTAACCGCCCTGGCAACACTGATACCGAAACTTAATTTTATCATACCATACAGATAATCAGGACATCTTTTACAAATTAATTTGTTGAACAGAACCAAACTATGCAATGCGCGTCTTTCATTCATTCTTAACCATTTAATTTCGCAAAGCTTGGCACTCACACCCCTCTCAGGGCCCCTAATACCACCTATCAACCTGACACAAGAATTCTGCATGAGCTGAATTCTTCTGGCATCGGAAACCAACAGACAGGACCGTCCAGTACATCGCAGTAGTCAAAGTGCGATTAGACAATAGAATCGCACGACACTTTCTTGAGATTCTCATTAAGTAGGGCCTGTTGGTTAAATATTAGTTTAAGGTTGGCAAAAGTCTTCTTGATACAGTTATTAATATGCCCCGAGAATCTTAGATCAGTGTCCATGATCAGTCCCAGATTTTTTGCTGTATCACATGCGTCTAAAACCTGGTTGCCAAGACTTATCTTTAATAGATTCCGGTTTTGGTCTCGACTCTGGGTCCAGCCGAACAGAACCTGCGACTTAGCAGGAATTATTTCCAGACAGTGCGCCTCGGAGGCCTTCTTAAGCGATTTCAAATCGTGCGTCAGTCTGTCGTTGACTATCATTATTTGATCAGGCTTGATTGAGAGATAAAGTTGTGTCGTCTGCATAATAGTATACAGTCGAGTATTGTAGACATGTAATAAGTTATGAAGTATAGATAGAAAAAAAAGCGGCCCAAGGATAGAACCCTTAGGCACCACAGGTCATCTCCACAGGCCTCGAAAGCCTGCCACTATGCTTGACCACTTGGTTTCGACCAGAGCTAAGGATTGACTGTCACTTTGTAATCAGCATATATCCTCTTTTCCATTACTTTTTGGTACAATGACTAAAGGTGTCCCCCATTCAGAGGCTGAGTTCGTTTTTGTCATCTTTTTCGTCGATTTGCTCCGAAATTTTGAAAGGCACGTGATTTGTAAATTGAAACTGTCTTATCCAATCACGTGCTAGTCAAAATTTCGGAGCAAATCGACGAAAAAGATGACAAAAACGATCTCGGCCAGAATAATCCATTTTTTCGATTATGCCTTCTCTTTCCAATAAATCTAATTGATGATCCACTTCTTTCTGCAATGCATAGGGTATTCTTCTAGGTTTGTGAAATATTGGTTTTGCGTTTTCTTTCATAAAAAGTGTACATTTTATTTCAGGTATTTTTCCTACAGTTTCTGTAAAAACGTCTTGAAATTATTCAAAAATCTCCTGCAAATCTGGTTTCAAAGAAATTAAATCTATTTCATGAATTTTAACATTTAATTTTCTTAACCATCTTCTTCCTAAAATAGCACTACTATAATAATAATTCGGTACAATATACAAATCTCCAATGATTTTTTGTTCTTTAAATGTGATAGGAACTTGAACATAACCTAATGGTTGAAAAAGATGCCCAGTATATGATCTAAATCTCACATTAGTATCTTGTAAAGGTAAATTAAGTTGTAATTTTTTAAAATCCATTTCCGATATGATAGATACGTTACTTCCAGTATCGCATTCAAATTTGAATGGTTTATCTTTGATAAGCAATTCAATAATCATTTTTGGTTCATATACCGGTAATGAAGTTTGATTGAAAATATCGATTACTTGGTTGATTGAGTAATTTTCTGGTTCCTCAAAAATCTCATCTTCAAAAATATCGTCATCATCATGAATACTTTGAATATTTGAGGTTCTTTTTAACGTTGTTATGCAGACTTTACTTGTGTGGCCTGATTTGTTACATTTTCTACATTTTAGTTTACTAATGATACGACAATCTTTTGTTTGTTATAATTTGAAACTTCATTAACGGAGTTTGTATAGGAACTTTTATACACTTCCTTGTTTTGTATCTTTGAAGCTTCTATTGCTAATGCCGTTTGTTAAGCTTTGTCAAATGTAATGTCAGCTTCTTGAGGAATTTTGCCTCTAATTTCGTCATCTAGTATAGGTACCACGAATAAACTGTGCTCTAAATAGTGTGTCAATTAGTGATTTATTGCAGTTTTTACATTCATGTTGTTGACATGATACTTTGAAATCACATGTTTTGATAAACTCTTTAAGTGCAGCAATGTAGATCGAAATTGATTCTCCTTGATATTGATTCCTTGTGAAAAATTTGTGTTGTTCCGCAAAAATATTCCTTTTTGGTGATAAATGATTTTTCAGTAAATTTATAAGTTCATCATATGTTTTCGTATTAGGGAGGTCTGGAGGTGTAAGACTAGAGAGAAACTTGTAATATTTACTTCCTAAACAATTTATCAGGACCATTACTTTGGCTTCATTAGTATCTAAATCGTTTTTATCTAATCTTTTTAATTTGAAAAAATTCTCTAATCGTTGACAATAGTTTTCAGAATTTTCATCAAAAGATTCAAAATGTATTATTTGATTTTTAAGAGACTCCTTAATATTGCCTGATCCACTTACTTGTTGTTGTTGTAATGTATCAACTAATCCGCTGAGAGCTGCAATTATTGACGCTAGTTCTTCGGACATTTTGAATATTGATTTTAATTTCTCCTATGATTGTGATTTCCATAGAATTTTTCTTCTCCTATTTTATCTTCTTTTCCCTATCTTCTTTCTCCTCGTCGCCAAATTGTTATGTATTTTGTGAGAAATATTGTGCTAAAGATGAGTCTCTATTATTATAAAATCTGACAATAACAATTTTATAAAAAATACTAGGTTAAACAGTCCTAAATTTTACAACAGGTTAAAATTAATATTATATAACACTTTCTATAATATATTTCACAATGCCCTGAATGCTTTCATTCCGCTCAAAAAAGTTGCATTGGTTGCATTGGTGAAGACGAATAATTTGCTATTCCGTAAAGTTTCTGTATCATCGGAAGTTCCTCAGAGTCCCTTGTAGGTCCGCTTCTTGTCAATCTACATATTTATAAATGATATTTCCAATTGTTTTTTGTCCTCTAAATTTCTTCTATTTGCGGATGATTTGAAGCTGTTCAGGACGGTTGCTACTTCTGAGGATTGTCATTTGCTGCAGGATGATCTCAATAGATTTACACAATGGTGTCGCAACAATGGAATAGAGCTCAATGTGTCCAAGTGCAAGCTGATGAAATTTTCTAGGTGGCATCATCAAATAACCTTAAATTACTTCATCAATGGGGAGATTCTATCATCTGTTGCGACCATCAGTGATTGGGGTGTTACTTTTGACCCGGGTCTTTCATACATAGAGCATACATCTAATATAATAAGCAAGTCACTTATGATGTTGGGTTTCATTAAAAGAAACTCGAAAGAGTTTCTCACCATAACCTCTCTGAAGATTCTCTATTGCAGTCTTGTTCGAGCAAGATTGGAGTATGCCTCTTCAGTTTGGAACCCCTTATACAGGTCTGGCAAGTCAGCATCTTGCAGGCCAATTTTAATGCAATAGAATGAAATGTATAGGAAAAGTCTAAGGTTAAATAGAGAATGAAAACGATTTCACCATTGTCGATAAGAAGACGAAGCAGGGATCTTGACAAGCCTCTTAAGATTCCTAACTCTCTGTTAGATTGCCCTCACTTGCTTGTAGAAATAGGCCTTTATGCTCCTACTAGAATGACTCGAAGCTGCTATATTTTCAATGTGTCATTTCATCGCACTAATTATGTAGCACACTCTTTTATTCCTCGCTCATTTGCTCTTGCTAACAGATTTGCTGATCTTGACTTCTTGTGCACTCATAAAATGTTTTTGTCTCAATTAGCTCGCCTAGAAGGTGTTTAGTGCTTAGGTATTTTTACATATATTATTTTTTTTTTTTTTTTTTTCATTTTATCGCATTTAATTCTCAGTAGGTAGGTATATATTTGCTAGTTAGGTATCAGTGTAAAATGGACACTATCAATAAATAAATAAATAAATAAATAAAGATGAACGATGCGGATTTCATTTACCCCTGCGACTTCATGACCATCAAACACGAAATCGTAATGACTGGCTCATCATATCATCCAGGAGTTTCTTGACTGTGATCAATTTTTTTTCATGTCTTTTAAGCAAATGTCTTCCTCGTTTCTTTTAATGTGTTTTAAAGGTAATGTATGTGAAGACAAATCTTAGTTTTCTGTTGTTGAACATCTTTTTTTAGGGCCGCTTTTCAACTCTACCAACAATAATTGCTGAAATATCCTCTAACAGCTTTTTACTTAGTTTAAAATAACCCCGTCAGTACAACGTTAGGATAGTTTTCAGTTTTCGGCATGTTCTAAAATGTTAATTCACCAAGAACGTGCGAGATCTAGCATATTATTCCGGAGCATATGCGGTTTAAAGGCATATCTCGTGTGTCGCAAATGGACCGTTTTATGTTAGAATGATGGTGATTTATGACCTGGAAATGGAGAAATTCCGGGCTGTCTAGCTGTCTGTGGATTAGGATGGATAGAGTGTGTGGGTCAGTGAAATTCGGGCGTTCTCAGAAACCATCTTGTGGAAAGCGTATTGATGAGATCTTAAGGAAACAAAAAATTTAGAGTAGCTATATAGTACATATATGAATTAGGGAATTTTAGAATCAAAAATGTATTTGTTTTTTTTGTTTCAGGCACATTGGAAAAGGTTGTGATAGAGACACCTACTCAGTGCAATCGCAACGTAAACTTTGCGGAGCATCTCCATCAGCTATTGATCTTTTACCATCACCTGGTGCTGGAGCTGAATGGACAAAACCATTGATTTCTGACGAAGGTAACTTTTCCTTTCCTATTAAAATTAAAACTCATTACCAATTTTTATTTATAGGTCACGAATCTGATCAAATGTTCGAATTTGATGGCAGTAGCACTGCAGTATCAATCCCTAACTCAGTTTTGGACCATAATTTGCCAGCCACCTTCACTATCGCAACCTGGATGCGACATGGCGAACATAACGGGCAGGATAAGCATGTTAAAGAGCATATTTTGTGTTCTGCTGATGACCACAGTAAGTAAAATATTTGTGTATGTTTCTACCTCATACTAATAGGAGAGATAAATAGAAAAAAAGTAATAATTTTTTGATGAAAATATATTTGCAAGTTTTGGGAAGTTTCTAATTAATATACTCCCCAGAACAGAGCAACTTTTATAAATATCAATAAACAAAGTATCAAACTTTATTGTTTTTCTAGAGTAGACACTATTGTCAATAATAATAACAATAATTATTGGAAGTTGAAAAGTACTTGGTACATACTTGCAGTTTTTCTCATTAGGAAAAATTGATGTAGTAGAATTTACATTTCGAATGCGTCTAATCGTATGTATTATGTTTTGCAAAGAATGATTTTTTCAATTTATTTTTGATTCTAGTTCTAGTACTTTTATGTTTATTGAAATAATCTCGAAACATTAAGAACATTATAGTCTATTATTACTTATAGGTTCTCCTCATCATAAGATTTTTGGTAAGCTGTGGGTGTTTTATGCCTAAAATAACCTAAAAACATAACTTTTTTCTTGACTAACTCGAAAAACTCCCAAGAAAACTTATGACAGTGAGGGAAGTAATTTTATGGTAGTTTTCCCATTGTGTCCCTAACACAATCGGTCTAGGCTTGAGAGAGTTCTTTGAATAATTTGCATGCCAAACTAAGTTCCCATGTTGAAACCCTCCAGGGAGCTCTGTGGAATTGAATGAGATATTAAGAAAATTAATGTTTGCTTTATAAGTTGGGTGAGTTTGCTGCTGTTCTAATAACCGAAAGACTAAGAGTAATTGTCAAAAAACAGATTGAATTTGCAGTTCCACCAAAGTTGTCAGAAAGTGTTTTTCTCATGAATATTTAAAGCCCCCCCTTTTCCAATGTCCAAAACCAAAAACAATCTAAATTTTGGTTTGTAAATTAAAGTATAAATCAACCGGCTTTCTAATTCGGTTCAATCTTTATTCTCAAGAAATCCCGTATAGCATTCGAAACCAATCGGCGGTTTCCGATTCTTTCTCCTCGTTTTGTAAAAGGGAAAAAGAAGGGCGCCCATGCGTTCCGAATACAAATTTGCATAAAAAGCGGATTTTCATTTTTCTCTTTCTCGCTCCTTTCTCCTGAGTTTACCTTACGAGCAAGCTATTTGGCCTTTTGCCAGTTGAAATAATGAACTTCTAATCCGCCAAGAAATATGGCTTATTCGCAATTGATTGCTTTTTTTTCTTGGGCCGAAAGGGCTTTTAACGTTCCGCCAGAAAGTCTGCTTTTTCTTTGTTAAGAAACCAAAAGCTTGTTATGGATAATTATTATGACAAGATCCAGAATGCCAGCGAAAAAAAAAAACGGTTTTTTACCAATTAAGTGCAGCAAGTTTTTTCAATTTACGATATTTTAAAACGCCAGATCCTGGAAAAAAAATGACCCCATTGGAGTCCAATTGGTAATGGCGCAGAGTGCTCACACATTCCCATTACGCTGATGAACAAAAATTGAAAAATAGGAAAAATTATTAACTGACGCCGCGCGTCCCAATTAACTTTTAATTAACGTCCCAACATGGCGATTTTGGGAACATACAATGAACGGTCGAAATGTAATTGCAATTTTGCATTTTATGCGCGCGGATCCGATATCTCGTTTCCGTGCCAAAAAAGATAATTAATTTGGAAATATCTAATTAGAATGTGTCACTCGAAAAGTATTTCGTGCTTTTGAATCATAATGGTTTGCTAAATCTGTATCGGTTCGGTAAGCTTTGATTATGTTAGGCCTAGGCCTTGTTTCATTATCAACATTTAACAGGAACTTAATGCTTTCGTGATATCACCGAAGCTTAATATTACCCGTGTTTTCTGGTACAATCTAAGGCTATTGTTAACTAACAAAGACTTCTCAAACAAGGAATCCAGTGGTGTTTAGCTTGCCACAATCAAAAATCTATTTTCAGCTTGACATAATAACCTGAAGCTTTCGATAAATTTATTAGGAAAGTGTACCGCTGGAGTTTCTCTGGGTGTCTTAGAACCATGATATTATCGGTATTATCTTGAGTTTAAAACCGAAACACAATACTAAAGACTTTATAAACATTCAAACAATACAAACGAATTAAAATATTAAAATTAGGAAAATATAAATTGTCAAACACTTTCTGGGCGATACCTTTCTTAATATTTTGTAGGGCCTGTCTCGTTTGGGATCAGACTTCTTAGTCAAGGCTGTAGGTACTGCTATGCGTATGAAGTTTAACAAGTACCTACTTTGTCTCCAACGTTAAACTCAGGAACTACTCTGCGTCTTACATCTGCATAGACTTTGTGTCGGTCTCGTGAATTTTCATTAATACTTCAGTGTCCTTATTCTTGAAGCAAGGGAGCAGCGTTCCCAGGAGACCGAGTGTTCCGTCTTTCTCAATGATATGCAAATGATAATATAAGTAACAAAGACAGAACACTTGTTCTCCTGGGAACGCTGCTCCCCTGTTTCAAGAATAAGGACACTGGTGTCCTGCCAAACAGTTATCATATATATAAAATTATCGGAAGTGATTTGTCGCATATCATTTTGTACTTCATCGAGTGTACGTAGTTCCCTTCCAAATGTCAAGTATGCCGACGTATATCCAAGATTTTCATTCTTGACTGTATTCATTGCAAATCTTAAGGTGGGTTTAGCCAACTCTTAATGCATAATGCATAATTTTAATTCATAATCGATAATTTTTAAAACTTCATATTTAAATACACCCGTTTATAAAACGCATAATGGAAGTGGATAGTGGATAATTTAGTGTATAATGCGTAATTCATAAAGTTGACTAACTTTTAACTTTTACGAATTATCCATTATGCATTGTACAAAAAATGCTAGAGAGTTCTGGTTTTGCTTCATAACCTCAAAATCTTGTTGTCTGTTTTCCTGTTGTTTTCAATGGTTTTTGATCTGGAATAGAGTTTTTTTGTTTTTATTTATTCAAATGGAATTTTTCCTAATTAGACTATCCAAGATGCTGTCAAACTTAAATTAAAATGTCCGCCAAGAGGCATACGAACCTTTTGTTTGTTTGTCAAAGTGACGTGTTTTGGATAGGCTGACTATTCAAGGTGCTGTCAAACTTAAATTAAAATGTCCGCCAAGAGGCACACAACCCTTTGTTTACTTGTCAAAGTCATTTGTTTTGGATAGGCTAATATGTAATTAAAGCCTAATTTATCATTTATTTAATTATTTAATATTTTATGAAAAATAACAAGTGTCAAACTCAGCTGTCTTGTCAGTTCTTAATGCACAAAAATTATGCGATGTATAAACACCTCTTCTCTCTTATGCATTACGCATTATGAATTACACATTATCAATTATGAATTAAAATTGTGCATTATCCATTAAATTTGGCTAAACCCACCTTTATTGATGAACGATACGAAGGCCATCTTTGACAAAAATTGCCAATCGTGGCTTCAGATCTCGAATTTTCCGTTCTACCATGTTGCATTCCGGACGATAAAATGGCGTCAGTGATTGCTGAATTCCCATAATATGACATTCTTGTTGCATAACGGTTGAAACAAATTGAACACCATTATCACTTGTCACTGGACGTGGTATTCCATATCAAAGGAAAACTTCTTTTACCTGTTTTCGTGCACAATCTTCTGAGGTAGCGGTCTTAAGTGCAAACAACTCGATCCATTTTGTTGAGGCATCTTCTGCAATCAGTATCCATCTATATATCCGTCATTAGATTCAGGCAAAGGGTCAAAAAGGTCAACAGCTACAATCTCAAACTTTTGAACGCATGCTGGAGTTTGTAACAACCCAGCTGGTTTCTGATTTGTTGCCTTGTACCTTTGACAGTCAGGACAGTTTTTAACATAGTCAGCTATATATTGTCTCATGCCAGTAAAATAGTACAGTGTACTTTCTTGCAACTCGTTGGTATGTTTGCTCGATTCCATAATGGGCTGCAGTGGGACTATCATGATATTCGTACATGATCGTCTCTTGTTCATGTGTTGGGACAACAACTGCGCTTCTTCATCTCCTTCTTCCCAGGAATATCTATATAGCACACCATTCATAATGAAACTACGATCAATCCACTGAGCTATGGTATTATCTTCATTATTTTCAAAACAGTTCATAATTTTAACAAGTTCGGGATCCTTCATCTGTATCTCATAAACAGTTCGGGCTGACATATCTACTGTAATTTCACAGATATCACAGGATGTTAAATCTTCATGGTTACAGGGTGGCCGGGATAGAAGATCCACTACTACATTTTTCTTCCCCAAAATGTTTTCAACCTTTAGATCATAACTCTGTAGTTTCAAGGCCCATCGAGCAAGTCGTCCTTTCGCTCAGCTGGCAGTAACAACCTCGACGCATATTCCACATGTTTTTCTGGTCCTTTTCCTTGAAGTAATATGGCCCCAATTGCATAGAAACTGGCATCCGTTCTCATCATAAATGAGTTAGTTTCGTCCATCTGTCGCAATATTGGTGCGCTAAGTAGGTGTTGCTTTAAGGTGTGAAATGCATGGCGTTGTTGGTCACCCCAGTGAAAAATCATATTCTTTTTAGTTAACTGACTTAAAGGGCGTGCAATTTCAGAGAAGTTCATAATGAACCTGCAGTACCATGAGCAGGCTTGAAGAAACGATTGTACCTCTTTCAATTTCCGGGCGGCAGGCAGATTGGCAATAATAGCATCAGTTTTCTCAGGATTAACTGATATACCATTGGGTGTTATCAAATCTCTTAGATATCGAACACTCGGACGAACAAGCACACAACTGTCTAAGCCTGTTGAAAATTTTCTGAAGATCACTAAGGTGCGTCTCAAAGTCAGAGGACAAGACGATCATATCATCCAGATAAACCAAAGTCCACGGCGAAAAGCATCCATTAAACGCTGGAAAGTCGCCGGAGCGCTTTTCAATCCGAATGGCATACGTAAATAGCGGATCGTTCTAAATAGATGGTGAAAGCAGTCTTATCGCGGTCACACTAG